GCGTGACTGCCGCCGTAGCTGCCATATGCCCCAGGAGCCTCTGAAATTGTTTCAGTGGGACCACCACCCTGTTCTTGAATGTATTCAAGCAGTTCAACACCAACTAAGCACGTTCCTGCGTGAGGCGTGCTGTCTGTTTGACCGAGTCCAACTCCATACTGAGAAAAGAGATCCTCTGCGTCGGGGAGAGTTTGCTCTTTTCCCAGTTGACCCGAAGGCCCAACAGGCTGAGGTGTGAGAGCACCAAATCCCTGTGTTCGCACAATTAATCCTGTGACTGAGCAAGTACGAGCCAGTCGTCAAGGTAGTTGAGAATGCGAATGCCCTGTTCTCTCAGGGGAACAAGGGGTACCGCCGCAACTTACGTGAAGACACGGGACAGGGACAGCCCGGAGGGCAGGACCTCGTACTGATATGCTTGTCCTTTGGACGCGAACCACAGCAATGGTCTGTGGTGCGGAAGGGTCGACACATGAAGTACGCGTCCTTCAGGTCGACCGCTGCAAACCAATCTCGGGGACGGATGCACTCGAAGATGCAATCCTGCGTCAACATCTTGAACGGTAACCGGTGAAAGGCCCGGTTCAAGACACGCAGGTCCAAGATTGGTCATAACCCACCGCCTTTCTTGGGTACAATGAAGTAGGAGCTGTAAAACCCCGTCTTCATATCGGCTGGAGGGACCGGCTTTATCGCATCCTTCGCCAGTAGGACTGCGACCTCCGCCCGCAAGACAGGACCATCGGCCACCTTCACTGTTGTGAAGTGGATGCCACTGAACTTGGGGGACGCCGGGCGACTGAATCGCATAGCCGAGCCTGATGGTTCGAAGGAGCCATCGAGACGGGCTGGGTAGCTCTAGGTGGGATGGGTGGTCGAGTATTTGGGTACCACCGACCGAGAGGACAGTGGCGGAATAAGATGAAAGATTCTCCGCCCGGCCCTCCTCCGGGGGAGGGAGTGGTGTGCTTACCATCTCCTGAAGAGCAGGTCCCTCCACCTCTGGGTTGCCCGTCTCAGGGCCTCTTGCTCTTTCGCTTGCCACCAGGATTGGTGGGGGCCTGGACGGGCGGGGTGGCTGCCCTGCGACCTGCTCCACGGCGCAGCTTTGCTGGAGGCCGCAGGAGCGGGGCGGTGGTAGGGGGCCGCCCTCGGCGATGGCAGCAGCTGCATGCATGGATGTACCTGATGGCCTGTCTGCTTTGGTCAGCGGAGAACTGCTGTGCAAGTTCTCCACCGTGTCGCCGAAAAGGCCGGCCTGGGACACGGGGGCGTTCAAGAATCGTGTACACAGTGGAAGTCTCCACTTGAGCCCTACCCCTACAGCTGCCCGGGAAAGCATAGCCATTATTTCTGGATCCGATTCAGGCATTGCTACAGTCCCGGAGGAAAGCAGCGCAGCCGAATCTTCCTCTCCAGAAAGCTCTGGCTCACCCTCCGATGCAGCAATCGACATCTGGTCGTTGGGAGGAG